AAAAAGGTAAAGGTCGATCTTTGGCTCCAATTTGTTCGAAGTGTGTCTATAAGTTTATCAGTCTGCAGAAGTAAATCTCATAAGTTTTAGGCAGTATTGAACTGAGTAATGCAGGGTAGTAGATTATTTGAAAGCTTCTTTGTAAAAAAATGTAGAATCGAATTTTTCAATCCCCGCCTGTTTTTGAACATACTCTTATTATTATTTGCTGTAACCGTCTACGGCATTTTGGCCTTTCATTTTCATATTCGTACTTTATTTGAAGCTACATTCGGGGCAATCTTCTTGCTTCACTGCAATGAAGTAAACACCCTATTTAATAACGTCCATCTCCAGACTTATTTCCCCTCTCTGTATATTGTGACTGCCTCCAACTCTAGTCAGATTGTAACTGCATAATCAGAAACTCAACTCTAAATTCATGTATTTTTGATGTAAGTAGTTGCCATGAGAGTAAATTTCAGGCATAAACGGCTTTAAAAAAGAGCTGGATAAATCCTCCAAATTTTATAAAATTAATTTTACAAAATTATAAAATTATAAAATTTTACAAAATTACTTTACTCCAAAAAAAGAGGAAACATTTAAGTTGTTATAACAAAGATAGGAACTGAATACGAAACGAACTTGCAATCAAGAAGTTTTTAAGTTTTAAATTGTTTTTTTTTTTTTAATTTTTAAGCGTTTCAGTAAAAACTATACTTTAAAACAGGAACCTTGGAATATATTCAATTACTACAAAGTGTACTTTGAATCTAAAATGAATTGGTGAAATAGTTGCATTAAACTTGCGTCCTACCCAGATTTATGGTAATAGATATTCCCACAGATTTTCTTTTTAATAGAGAAATATCAAAAATCCTGAAAAGGTATCTTGCTTAAAATTACCTGAAATCCAAAAACCAAAAATAAAAATATTATATTGGATGAATACAGGTAGTAATAGAAGGACTAGGCATTTTCGATTACTTTTTGACATTACTCAGGTATACTTGAGAACTTATTTTAAAGCAATTTTATAAATATTATATATAAATATAAACATATATATGGGATTTCGCCCATTTTTGCAGTATTTAATAGTTGTTTGGCTAACCTCACACACCAAATTTGCTTGAATTCGGTCAAGTAGTTCCTGAGATATAGGATTTCACCTAAAAGTGTGCGGTGCCACGCCCCTTGTCCGATTCAATTCACACCACATCCTAAAAACTCCTTCTCTACCACCCTGATTGTGAAATTTAATGCTTGTGGCTCATTTATTAAGTGAGTTATAGTACTTTTTGTAGATTTAAACATAACCGTTTATGGGAAGTGAGCGTGGTTATTATCTGATTATATCCATTTTCACAGAGTTTGAAAAGGTGATAAAATAACTTCCTCTCAGCAAGTTTCGTTGATATAACTTTATCGGTTTGGAAGATATGTACAATAAATCATTTGGGGGGTGGGGCCACAGATGTACCTTGGACACAGATGTACCTGGTTTCATCAAGATATCTTAATTTTAACTCAGGTTATCGTTTGCACGGACAGATGGACGGACAGATAGTCACCCGGATTTCAATTCGTCTCGTCATCCTGATCATTTATATAAATATATATATATCTATCTATATCTATCTCGATTAATTATAAGTGATACAAAGAACCGTTAGGTGAAAAAAACTATTACACTATGTAGCAACATGTTGCAAAAGTATAAAAATATGTAAACGGACATATTTGTAACCGCCGTGCAAAATCCTTTAAAAAATTGTAAAACAGTAAAAGGGAAAGCAAACGCGAAATTTGATTTTAATGATAAAATTGATAACGATTGTTTCTAAGCATTATTTTATGGTTTCTTTAAGAAATGATTGTCCGTTCATTATTTTAAATATTTGCACGATGACCTCTGCACATTTTGTTTCGAGTATATTTTACATAGTAATTTGTCTTCGCAATTAGTAGATTTGTCTACGGCAACAGGTGCTCCCTTCTAATGCCATGAATGCATATCTTCCCTATTCTGTACGAATATTGCATAATTTGTATACAATATTACATGTGTATATGCACTTTTTGACCAATCTTTCAAAATTCGTTAGAAAAGAAGCAAAATGTATGCATTTATTTTTGATCGCAACCATTGCCAAAACTGTGTTCAATAATGCCTTTCTTTAGCACATTCTTTGTTCATATGTACGTACATATGTATGTACGTACATATGTATGTGCGTCAATGGCAAGCAAAGGAAAATTCGAAATGAGCCCATGAAACTTGCACAGATCACCTTATTGATTAACCAAAGCAAATTAAGCCCCTAAACCAAATATTTATTTATTTATAGAACAAAGTGTGGAAAATGAATAGTACTCGCATATATATATACACACAAGCACACGTAGATGTTTTTCGCACCTGACAAATAGTGACATAAAGTTCATTATACCACACTAGCGAAAAGCTCAACACATCCATGTCAGAGCTCATGTCTATATGAATGGCACACACCTGTGATCAAATTGTTAGAAGCATTTGCATATAATGTGTACAGGGTGGTGCGTGGAACAAATCATTTGTTTTTTAAAATTTGATAGTTTTTACGGGAAAATTAGTTGACAACAACGTCCATAGAATACAAAATACATATGTACATACAATATTACTGTAATATTACTGTTTTATATTTTTATGTTTTGTGTTCAAATCATGATCTGCTTTATCTCTCCTTCATTGCACATTAAGATAGACTTAAACAAAATTATGTGCATATGTGAACCTTGCCCAATTTACAAGTTCATTCGTCTACAATAATATTGTGGCTTTCGGAAAAATTCCCATTCCATATTATGCACTTATGCCAATGCCCCGTCCAACCGTTGAAACACTTCTCAAACTCGATTTTTGGGATAGCCTTTAGATCGTTCAGTGATTTTCATCTATCTTGTAAAACGACGGCCCTTTACAGTACTGTTTTTGGCCAAGAAATCACGATCAATCAAGGAAGTATGAGCTTTTAACAAACGAAAATCACCAAGCTCATAGAAACTCGTCTCGCCTTAGCCACTTGTACAGACAAAGTAAGCAATAAATATAGCTAAACATTTCATCGTAGTTCAGGGGAATGTATGTACAATACATATATCAACATAATAAAATTAAAGTTTTTCGATTGGATTCATCAAACCCGCGAAATTTCTGGACATACCTCGTATATACAAGTAATGCATTGAAATCCAACGTCTCTCTTCTCAAAACAACGGGGCTTTGGACTGAGTCGAATATTGAGAAGTAAGACGTTTCGCATCAAAATCTTCGTAGAAGTGTAAACGATGCAACGATTCAGTAATGTTGCTGGGGCAATGTTCGATATGAAATATTTTTGGAGCATTGTACGATAATAACGGTTCATGTTAGGAAAGGTACAACAATGTGCGATCTATATGACGCCATTTTAGTTATGATTTTCAGTGCCAGAAGTATACGGTTTCTATAGGAACCTTTCACAATTAGGGAAGCACTTCTTGAATTTTTAGTTGATATGAAATTGACTGTATAGAAAGCCTGGAGGGCCTTTATTCTGAAAAAAAAAACAATTCTTTACAATATACAAATATTCATAAAAGCATTTCTAATGATTGTTCCATGTTTGGCTAATTTTGCCTCATATAATAATTTGTATTTGGATAACCCTTTGCTGCCAAAATTAATTTTTAAATTTTGGCTGGTATAATTTAAAATACGCCGAACAATCTAAACCCGCTAATGTGGAAATCGTCAAAAACGCGCGTTGCGCATATTTTTTACCTCAAAGAAAATCATAACAGTCAACAGACAAAAGAAAACATTTGGCACTTAGCTTATAACCACCCAACTATAAACCACACTGGCACTAATGGCAAAATGAGCAAATTTTATGTTGATTTACATAGAAAATGAGTGAAAAAATGAAGACAACGATCTCTAGACAAAACTGAAAGACGCTCATATGAAAATAGGAATAAGAAAAAAAACTTTAAAATGCGTTTCGAACATCAGAGACCGGCGAATTTTCACCTTTCCCTACATTGTTTGGAATGTTTTTGTGAGTTTTTTGACACTGGTTGTGGACGCTTGCAAGCACGATGCGCTCTAACAGCGACTCATTAGCTTGCGATCGGCAATCGTTCGCCAGACATCGTTAGATCAGTGCGTCACATTTCTTCTCCGCCTTGATTCTGCGCACTGCTCCTTTTACGATCTCTTATTTATTGTCTGTGTGTACATAGTGGCACGTACCATGAACTGAGTGGCTGACGAAAGAAGCAATCACCTCGCCAGCGGAGCGCAGGATCGGATGGTAAGGGAGGGAGGAATAATACATATTTATATATTACATATGCCATTACATGTGGCCAATGAGTTGCGCATAAGGGTGTCATGCTTAGTGGTGAAATAGCTGTTCTCCTAGAAGAACTTGTATGCTTGTATAAACATATTTGCATGATCGTTTCCAAGAAAAGGCTTTGTTGTGCTTTGACTTCTTTTACATGCAGAAATTCCCCGTTTGTTCCACCTTTTCGTCAGCACTTCCTTCAATTGCAAACAGACACACACACGCTATAATATGTACATGTGCTTGAAAATCGGCTGCTCTCGAGCAAAACTGACTCGGATTTATTTTTAAAATATCACACTTGTTTCGCAGCGCACGATCCTCTCAGCTGTCTCCCGCAAGATACAAGAACGAGGGAGGCTTTTTGGTATCTTAAGTGTGCTGCGCAGCTGCTACCGTATCGTTAGCAATGATCGGCGTTGCCGTCATTCACGCTGCCACCACCGCCAACTGCCGCAGCTCAGCACAGGCGAAGACGACAACGGCCGCGGCGTTCGACCACCGTCATTCGTGGCATAGCTAAGCGTCAACACCAACGCCATCATCAGCATCCCCCTGCAGCCTGGCGCACGGCGGTGAACGCACGCGTTGGAAACATTTTCGAGATGTAAAAATGTAAGTGGTGTTTTCAAAAACATTTCAGTACTTTTCGAGATTTCCAAGTGATTAAACGTGTGCACACAATTAAACCACGAACCAGGCGACGACCATAGCGATCAGGCCAATACGGAGCTAAAGAAAAACAGACGAAATACAAATAAATTAAAAATATTATTTTTTGTGCAAAACCGGTAAAAAGTTGAAAATATTTTCCGCAGAAAAGTGCGGCGAAGTAGTGAATACAAGTACACATGTACTTGCAAGTATATTGCGAAATTTTTGACAATGCCTGTGTGTGGAGATTTTAGATTTTCATAATTCATTGGAACTTCTCGACCTACAGCAACAAAATAAAGACCCCTAAACTAAACTGAACTATATTTTTTAATATTAAACAAAATAAATAAACTTACTTGGAACTTAAAAAATTGAATTGTGGCAACGGTACTCGAAGACGTGTGCTGTGCTGGTAGTGTCTCGGAGTGTCAACGCTTTGGCACACGCGGTCACACATTTTCGCCGCGTTGGCCACTTCCCGTCCACGCCGCTGAATCATCCGTCTAAATTCTGTCTGCATGCAGTCTTTTCGCAGAAATATTGAACGCAAATCGCAAACTATACTTTGAAAATCACTCGGTCGGTCGGCCGATCGGTCAGAATAGTCTCCGACATATTTGTCTCCAATTTTCAGGTAAGTGTGCGGTTAGAGAAGCAATTTACTTCGTTTTAATTTCCACAACAAATACTCTGTTTATGCGACGATGATTTGGCAATAATATGGTTTTGCATAACATTTTATTCGTAAATATCTAAATTTGTAAATAATTATCATAAATATTTTGCTAAATCTTCACGCTAATGCGCACATACACACATCGCGTATAGGCACGTTTATATGCATGTAGTGGTAAAATTTTTCTTCTCGGTAATGGATAGAGGCAACACATCGATTTTTAAGAATTGTTGTGAAATTAGTGATCATTCGGTAGGAACTGAAGAGATCATAAATCCGATTATTTTCGTATGGACAGTCATAAAGACGGTTTAAAATAAATGCATTTAGAAATTTTTGCGGAAGTTTATTAAGACTATATAAAGTTGTACCGATGAATTAAGTGGCCCGTGGCTAGAAATTGATTTTGTTTTGTTTTACATAGCGCTCTTCTATCACTCAGCGAGCTCATATATGTACACATGTATGTACATATATATGTATATATTTTTATGTCATTTGAATAGAAGAATATTTCAGAGTAATGAAAACATTAAAAATCTATCTTAAGAAGAGAGAGAGAGAAAGTTTAAACAACAGAACCACTTAAAAAACGGTTTTTGATGACGAAGTTGTCGCGATATGTTCGGAGCATTCTACAAAGAAATGTGCTCATAAATATATCGATAGTTATAGATTTTGAAGTCAAAGAATCGATCAAATGCTATTGCAAATATGCTCACATGGAATATACACATAATATATTATATTTATTCTATAAATTAGCTAAATTGCCAATATTAAATTTTAGATGATATCTGTATCCACTATATCTTTTCACTAGATGGGGACAATTTTGATTGAAAAGTGTTGCCTTCTTGATCGATCAGTTTGTATGGCAGCTATATGTTATAATATTACGATCTAAACGGTTGTGTTAAGCAATAATCCATGCCAGATTTCGTCAAGATATTTTGTTAAATAAAGAAGTTTTCCATACAGGAACTTGATTTTGGTCGATCAGTTTGTATGACGGCTAAATGCTATAGTTTCGACAAATGACCAGCTTCTTGAAGAGAAAAGGACGTGTGTAAAATTTCAGATCGATACCTCAGAGACTGAGGTGCTAATTGACGTACATATATACAGACAGACAGATATGGCTAAATCGACTCAGCTCGTCATGCTATTCATTTACATATATATTTTAGAAGATCTCTGACGTTTCCTTTTGGGCATTACAAACTGTATGACAGGGTAAAAAAGCTTTATAACCATTTAACGTAGCATAGTAGCAGTAAATAATGCCAACGGGCCTTCTGGGAACATTACCTCTACTGTGACAAACATTGCGCAAAATAAATGCATTCTCAGAAGTAAGTCGTCTATATAACAATTGTGCCTTTCCTCAAGCCTTCCTATATACTTATATCATAATTAATATATACATATATAACTGTATCAATTCTCTTAAATGCTGCGCCATAATCATCTTTTATCAGATAAATTATCTGCAGATGTTTTACAATTGTCATCAGCTGTTGCAATTGCAGATGCAATTTAAATTGAAAATATGTGTGTGTAAGAATTATATATTTCGGGTATAGTGTCCCACTTTCAATAGGATATACATACATATGTATGTACGTACTTATGACTTTGTATTTAAATATAAGAGGTATTTAAATTAGTGTCCTAATTGCAGCCAAAGATAGAATATAGGAAGCAATTTTAAAATTATTGCGACCACAGTGCTTGCTTAGAAATTTATGAATATCTATTTTATAGAATATTAAGTGCGAGTACATTTCAAATACTAAGTGGTATATCGTGTATATGTATAACTGTAGACACTTGTATATACATACATACCTACACTATAATCTATATAAGTATATTTATGGTATATTGTACGATTGTTGACATTCTGTGTTGCGCTAAATAATTTGACATTTTGAAATATTTCAATAGAAATGAATAAAGAAGGGACCCCATATTAGACACGCTTGCAAATTCGAAAATTTGATGTTTGCAGTAATAGATCATATTATACAAGTACATATGTTTGTATATGTACATGTGCACTTCAAAACTATTGGAATGTTAACCGTATATCTATACACAATATTTTAAATATTCTTTATGTGTGTCATTGACCGATCTCAACCGTTTTTGATACTGATCCTCATTAAATTCAATGAGGTCTCATTTAATAGATATGCCGCTTATTTATCGAGACATATGTATATTCAATATATTGTGTCAACGGAGACTTGGGTCATCTGGTATTTTTCTTCTTGTTGTGGGTATTTTTATTCATTACAATAAAATACCAAATAAGATATTACTCGAAATCACAGCATGCCTTAAATAGGGCAGATATGATTCAGTTTGTTTTTTGAGTTGGGGTAAGTAAACCGATTTCACAAATTTTTAGATATATTCAAATCAATTTTTTTTTTACATTTTTCTTCGGTACTATTCTAAGTGTTTGAGTTATACATTATAAAGTAAATTTAACATATGAATTCAAAATAGCAATATAATAAAAGTAGGCGTGACTATATAAGAGGGTCACCGAGTTTAGCTAGGTTAGGTTAAGTTAGGTTGAGAGGTCGATCCTAAGAAGGATCTCACTTGGACAGCTTAGAACGCCGGTCCGTTGTGGTACTAAAAAACCCCAACAAAGCTGGATCAAAAGACTCTTACAGATTAACAAAGCGCTTTAAGTCTATAACAAATTTGTTGAGGCGGCTAATATCCGTTTCGGCTAAGTCTTTTGGTCCGCTGAAGGTACCGCGATGTTTCAGTCTTAGTCTTGCAAAAGCCGGGCAATGTTATTTGTGAAATACATTTATTTTATCTAAACATAGAAGAGATGACGACACTACGTTCACTTTTTAAAATTTTTCACTCGCTGTTCTAATTTGAGGTTTTTAGCTCCATGTGTAACATAATTGAAAAATTTAGGTTTTTTATACATACATGATACTAATTTTACTAAAATATTTAAATCTGTACTTTTTCGCATGGCCGATTGGATATTCAATATTTCGTTTGCTCCAATCAAGGCTTAAGGGGTTATATCCATTTGCGTGTAAGAAAAATTGCGTTTCAGGCAGATTTTTTGGGGAAAAATTTTATTTATTAAATAAATCAAAAAAAGTGCATTTACAGAATTTAATGTACTTTAATAATCGTAGCCGATCTCTGGGAGGACCTCCCAAAGAAAGGTGTCTGGCGGCAAGAAAAATGTCTCTGCTTAAAATTTTCTTAAATTCAAAAATACATATTTACATATATTTTACGTTTCAGTGTGACTTAAAAATCGAATTTATTATCACAAATCTTAATTCTTTGAGCATTGCCTGACAAATACTATATCTAAGAAGGTCAGAAGAAAATTTCAAGTCGATCGGTTAAACCGTTTCGGAAAAATTTTCCCCACCGAATCTAAAAGCAGCGTTCCAAGATGAACACGTTTGAAGTTTAAGAAGCCGATTACGCCAAATTAAAAAAATTCTTACAAATACAAATTTGTACATACAGTACATACTTATTTACATTCGATATATGTACATATATGCAAAAATCGATTTGTTTTTTAATTCTCTAATAGATATATGGGTTACATATACTTAAGGCACTCGTATTGTATTATATAATAATCATAGTTATTATTTGTCATTTGAAAGCCTTAAGCAAATCGTTTAAATATCAACTCTATTGCGCGTGTTTACATATTTACGTAGACATGTTTTTCTTCAAATAGTTTTGTCTATGTGTGCGTGTGTATGGTGTTGCATACACGAGCCAGCTGCATTTACGTTGCCGCAATCAATGTCAAGTGTAATAAATGTGATTGCCTCTGTAAATTATTCTACTCATAATAATTAACCAAATGCGTTGAAAGCATATATTCGCAAGTGAAATTTCAATTGTAGTTTACGATTTCATATGCCCTAGTGATGTATGTATATATTTCTGTAATCGTATGTTGATAAATCTGCGATAATTAATGGTTTTGCACAAGTGAATATGTGACGAATGTTGCCTAATTACGTAGCCAGGTATTCGTGCGTGTTATTGTTTGTGCAGTTTGCACTGAACTGTTTCATAGTATTTAATTTAAAAATATTAAGATAAGTGTTATAAAGCACAACAGTCATTTCGAATAAGGAACCAATTTTGCGGGCGTTGCATATTTTAAGGCGTATACTGAATTATTTGGCCTGCTTTTGGTAAATTTATATTAGTATAATTATGTTTTTACTCAAATGGAATAATTTGAATTTCACGACATATCGAACGTAAGATTGTTCAGTCTCTACTTGTAGTTGTATTCTTTTAGCATAAGTTTAACATGGTCCAATTTTAATATACATGTGTACATATTAGGAATTACATTCGATGATGTGCTCTAAGGAGTTACATTCACCTTTGAGTTTCTAACAAAAATATGCTTAAATATCGAATGTACATACTTATACAATATTTGAAAATATTCTCCGATATCCGATAGTAGATCCGGCAAGTGTTTCGGAGATATAAGCTTATTTGTGTAATTTTTTAACTTAGTGTAAACGGCCCATAAAACCTTAAACGCTTTTTTTTCCAAACGCTATTTTGAGAGTCGGTGATTTTTATACTCTTGCAACATGTTGTTACAGAGTATAATAGTTTTTGTTACCTAAAGGGTTTGTATCACCTAAAAATAGTTTAGTTAAATTTAGGGTTATGTATATACTTACATATAAATGATTAGGATGACGAGACGAGTTGAATTCCGACCATTACCACGCCTACAAAGCGCCGTTAAACGAAAACATATAAAGTGCCATAACTAAGCCGCAAATTAAGGTGCAAAACTGTAATTTAGTACACGTGATCGTAATAGCCAGGGACACCTGTGGGTGCCCCCTAAATGGTTTACATATCTTCCAAACAGTAAAAGTGATATCAACCAAACTTACTGAGAG